TCCTCGCACGGACATCAAGCAGCTCCGGTGCTGGCGCGACTTCGTAGCTATGCTCCACCACGATGTGTGCCGGCTCAAAGCTGGGACTTCGGGCAATCTCTGATCTCTGGCGGCTGGCCACTCACCCCGATGGATCTTCTCCCGACGGTTTTTCATGGTTGTGGGGTATTTCTACTGACGAGGATTGCTGGGGCCTAGCAAGCTGCTTCCAATAATTGGAGGCTGTAAGAATAAGAACCGCTGGAGGAGAGCTATTGCAACCCGGAGCTCCTGATTAGAAGGCTGGGAGAGCTCGACTTGCCAGACCATCAGACGCTGGTGCTCAGCACGTTTTCATTTTCGGAGATTACGCACCCGTCTTTTGGGTTTTCTCCCGGGGTTCCATTGTTCCCCATGGACCTGGTCCTGCCATCCTCTAATGCGTCATCTAATGCAGTGACAACGATTGCAGAGCCATCTAGTCCACCAGCAACAAAGCTTCGTCCGCGGTTCGTCTGCTTAGATTTTGACGAAGAAGTGCTCCGGCTGGGCACTGCTGATCTGGAAGATGGTGCAGAGGGCGTCCGTGATTTTGCGAGACAGTGGGCCTCGATGCGTGACGAGATTGGGAGCTTCAGCACACCACTGTTCACCGATTCATTCGTAATATAGGGGCCTGAGTAATTGCCGATTACCAACTTGGGTTTAGGGCTTAGTATATTGGCGTCTAAAATTTTCAGTTTAGGGTTGAGGGTGAATGTACATGGACCTGTCAATGCTGCAGCCACGAACTCTAAACACTGAAATCCCGCTTGTACAACTCTGCGCGCTTCCAGCGCAGACCTTTGATGAAGAACACCACCCCTCTCACTACAAGGGTCATGACAGGTATCCTGTTTCTAGCTTAACATTTTTGCAGATACCCACTTGCATCCATACATACACCCCTGCAGTCTTCGGGAGGATGAGGAGGTTTACATTTGTTCTCAAGCCAGGCGGCCAGAAGGGAGTTCTGCAGGTAGGGTAATGGTTTGATTCTTTGTCTTCCGGGCCTCTCAAGTCCTAAACCATAATGTAGACCGTTCGTACACCCCGTTAAGCGCCTCAATATCAGCCTCTCTACTAAAGACTAAAGTCCTTATTTAGAGATTGTGGTTTATGAGTTAGGAGCCCTCACAACACCCGAATCCGAGGTCCTGTAACCCGTACACTGCCCACGCCCTAAACCCCAAATCCTGAATCTAAAATCCTAAACCCCAAATCTCATGCCCTAAACCCCTAAACCCCTAAACCCCTAAACCCCTAAACCCCTAAACCCCTAAACCCCTAAACCCCAGACCTTAATCCTTAAACCCTGTATCCAGCACCCTGACAACCCTGGAGCTGCCCACCAAGGTCTATCATGACATGCCCTTTGTTGGCTACCTTACTTTCTTAACTACAGGGTTTAGGGTTTAGGGTTTAGGGTTTAGGGTTTAGTTTCTTAAGGTTTACTTGGAGGCCCTTTTGACTTAGTAAGTAGGGTTAGTAAGGTGGGTTATGGGGATTATAATAGGGCTCCTGGGGGATACTAAGTAGACTTACTAAGTCAAAAGGGCCTCCAAGTAGGCTTTGGGTTTCTAGGGTCTAGGTCTAGGTGCACCTTAAAGTCCAATAAACCCCCACACCCCTAAACCCCAAACCTTCAAACTCCAAAACCCCTCAACTCCTAAACGCCAACAAACCTCTAAACCCTAAGACCCTTCCTAAATCCTGAACCCTACTATTCTCCTAAGCCTAAGCCCCAAACCCCTAAATCCCAAATTCCTAAACCTCTTAACCTAGAGACTCCCAAACGCCTTAGGTAAGGAATATGCTTCGTACATTATAGTAGGACCCCTAATATGATTTAACGTAAACCCTAAGCCCTAAACCCCTAATGCCCTAAACCGTAATACCCTAAACCCTAAACCCTAAACCCCAATACCCTTAACCCTAAAACCCTAAACC